CTTCCTTGGTTAGGTTTATTCTTAAGTATTTTATTCTTTTTGATGCAATTGTGAATGGAATTGTTTTCCTGATTTCTCTTTCTGTTAGTTCATTGTTAGTGTATAGGAAAGCCACAGATTTCTGTGTATTAATTTTGTATCCTGCAACTTTGTTGAATTACGATTTTAGTTCCAGTAGTTTTGGAGTGGATTCTTTAGGGCTTTTCTGTACAATATCATGTTGTCTTCAAATAGTAACAGTTTGACTTCTTTACCAATATGGATTCCTTGTATTTCTTTGTTTTGTCTAATTGCCGTGGTTAGGACCTCCAGTACTATGTTGAATAATAGTGGGGAGAGTGGGCATCCCTGTCTTGTTCCCGATCTTAGAGGAAAAGCTTTCAGCTTCTCACTGTTCTGTATGATGTTGGCTGTGGGTTCATCATATACGGACTTTATTATGTTGAGGAACTTGCGCTCTCTACCCATTTTGTTGAGAGTTTTTATGGTGAATGGATGTTGAATTTTGTTGAATGCTTTTTCAGTGTCTATGGAGATGATCATGTGATTTTTGTCCTTTTTGTTTATGTAACACATTTTAATGAAAAAATCATTTGTTTTCTAGAACTAAAACATACAGATAAGTTGACCAGCATTGTTTCATATTTCTGTAGCTCTCTTTTCTGTCTGGTTTAATAGAAGAAGCTATATTCTCTTTCATGCTTCTGCATTCAACTTGTTGCAAAATATTTTGTTGATTGAAATGTATGGAGAAATTCCAGCCTCATGCAAGTAGGTGGTTGAAAAAAGGAGACATATATTTTTAACTTTTTATTTGGAGATAATTGTAGATTTACAAGCAGTTGTAGGAAATAATACGGAGAGATACTGAGTACAACTCACCCAATTTTCCCCACTGGTAGCATCTCACATAACTATAGAATATCACAACCAGGAAATCAACACTGATAAAATCCAATGAACTTACTTGGGTTTCAACAGTTTTACATGCATTTGCTATGTGTGTGCTATTTAGCTCTGTGCATTTTTACCACATGTGGACAATCACATGATCAGCTCCCCAGTTAAGATACAGAACAGTTCCATCACACATATCTCACATGCTGCCCTGTTTAACCATAGCCACCTTCCAATCCCTCTCCCCACCTCCCTCACTCCTAGATACCACTAATCTTTTCTGAGGCAGAAGCATTTTTAATAGCTTTTTAGGTAATCATGGATATTCTCTAGTACTATTCCAAAACTCAACAAGTGCTGGTTTTTTTAAAGACTACTTGCAATATAGAAGCTGAACCATTATCAATGAACCTTTCATAATCCACTTTGAATGGTCTTTTTTACATTCATGAGTCTGTGATAAGAAAAGGATTGGTCTTTGCAAAACATTGGCTCACCAAGCCTTATAGAACTTACAAATGTTGGTTTATTTAATTATAGAATAGCAAGAAATCATATTGGTTAATATCACTACTAACCCTTTCAGAGAAGTCTTAAGTGTTTGGGAAGTTGTGGAGCTTATGGGATAGGTACAAGTTTTCCAAAATCCTGAGTTTTGCCCGGAAGCTCAAATTTTGTCATTGGCAACAAATACTATCAGTGGTTTTCCATGACATTACTCTAATTTTGAGAAATTGTTTTCCAAATATCCAAATCTGAAGAACTATAATTTGTCGGTCATTCTTTTAATTAAAAATGGTGTTGCATAGAAAAAAATATGACTAGATTAATACAGCTCAAAGAATCACCCAACTGCTTCTTGGTATGCAGCAGAATTGTTTTATATGAATTTCCCCCTTTGTCCTGCAGAATATTAAAGACCTAAATTCACAAATCGAGATTTAATAAAGTTTATCATCTTTACTCCTTTGTCAAGGACATTTCAAAGTGAGCCTGGCATTTTTTTATTTTACTGACATTGAAGAATACAATAGCTATTTGTACAATTTTGTGCCACTGACTTGATTTGCTCCACTAACCATTACTTTAACATCATGAGTGCAAATGATCAACTAACATTTCAGTATAATTATGAAAATAGTTTTGACCTGTGGACTCTCTGACAGTGTTTGGATCTCTTGGGGCCCATGGACCACACTTTGAGAACTGCTGAGCTAAGACAATAAGGACAGTGGTAGTTTATTAAAGGAAGATTCCAAATGAGAAGGTGATTCTTAAGGGTTGAGAGAACAATTCCATATAGGCACTCCATTTTCCCTAATACTAACCTGTTATCCTCTTTGTCTGATTCTTTTAAATTTTATCCCTTAGTTATTACTTTTATCAACTTCCATTTAAATATATTTGCCACCAAAGTTGTCTTAACACCCTATTCCTCTTCTGTTAGTATCATCCTGGAGGAATGTGCTGATCTAGATAGAGTGAGAATGGTTACAGCACACACCACTGAGTAGTGAATGACACAGATTTTATTTCCCCAACTGTGAAAGTTTGAAAAAGAGACACAAGTAACACATGATGAATTTAGGATGATCAAGCCCAGCCAGAGTCCCTGCCATGACAGTTTGCTGCTCAGAGGTCCCAAATAGGGAAAGGTCACATGGCTTGAGATTCAAGGAGTCTATAGGATGAGTCTTCGAATCATGGTGCAGAGAATTATAACAACTTGGTTCTCCTCTAGTATCAGACGTGTGAGTCAAGCAAGGGCTCAAGTTTAGCTAAGTTAGAAGGCTCTGCAGACTGATCCCTCTGGAACTAGCTGGGTCTCAGCATGCAGCAGAGTCCTTGAAAGGCATGAAACGAGGGCCAGAGTGAAAGGAACTGTCACACAGCATAGCTGGGACTACTAAATCACTCACTAGGTCCACGTATACTAATCCATGACCTAGAGCAGTACTCTACAGTGTGAACACTGACTTTGAGAATTAATTCCAAAACTCAATCCCCTCCATTCATCCCTGTTCTCCTTTCTGAGTTTCTGATTCTCTGACATTCCAACTATATAACTAGTTGCCAAATCATCCCATATTCAACATGCCAAAAAAGAAACTTCTCTCTAAAACTGTTTCCTAGGTCATTTCCCACCATCACCATCCACCTAGTTGCTTAAACTAGAAACCTGGGTGGGAGTATCTTGAACACATCCCACAAACCCTTCACAATTCTAAAACCCAAAAAGCTCTACAGACCCAAACTGATTTTGTAAGGTTGTGCCGGAACTCATTTGGGGCAACAGAATGTAACTTGAAATAACATGCGGTTGTTTGCGGTCTTTATTTACCCCACTTGGTGAGAAGTAAAGTAATATGTTTAAGGTCACATAGTCAATAAATGGTAGAATTTGAAGGACTGAAAGAAGACTGAAAAGAGTCTCTCTTTATGTAATTAAATGTCATTATATGTCCTATCCTCATTAAACCAAAACAGTCTCTCGGTTTGCTGGTGATAAATGACCCACACTTCAGGACACTCTCATTTCTTTAGAGTTTTGATAACTGGACTCTCTTTCCAGCCTCATCTCCTGCCATTTTAACCTTTCAACCCCTACCAGTCTTCTGAGCCCACTGCTTATCTGTACTCTCATGCCTTTGTTCATGCTGCCTGGAATGTCCTGCTTCCTCTTTTCTAATAATCCTTGTTTGACTCAGCTCAAATGACATATTTAGGCTGCTAATTTGACAAATTGAGAAATTAGTCTATTCAGCACAGGCCTGATGAATTGCTTCTTCACCTTGAGCCCAGGAGGGCTGGTTTATTCTTCTGCTGTGGAACTTTATTTTCTCTTATTCTCTAGGGCAGGGGCTTTGTAACCTCTAATCCTTAGCACAGTGGTTTACACTAAGTGCTAAATAAATAAATAAGTAAGTAAGTAAGTAAGTAAGTAAATAAATAAATAAATAGATGAATTCACATTTGGGTTTCTTCCCACATCTGCATCCCTATAGAGGAGACCCTCCTCTGAATGGGCCCATCAGGATCATGGCAGAAACTAAATGTGTAGGATGGAAGGATATTGTGGTGCAGAAGGGAAAGCTTCTGTGAGGCTAGGCTGGACACTGCTGCCCTTCCAGTTACCGAGGAAGAGAAGACTGGCTACATCTCACAGCAGTAGTCCATTTCATGAGAGCTAATTATTTTACTCCTTTCCACAGCCCTCTTCACCCTCAAGGATTTTTTAGAGTAATTAATGAAAACAATTACATAGAAGAAAGAATGTTTTTACAAGAACATCCCAAAGTTCCTTTCTATCCCTGGTCCTGAAATGGTACCTGCGTCCAAACGTAAAAGCATCACCTTATGTCAGAAGACTATCATTCCCTGCTCGGGCAGATGAACTCGCGTGGAGGCCCCGATTCCCAGAATGTTTCTGTGCAGGATTCGTGCCGTGAGGAGCGCCAAGTAAACAGTCAGCGTACCAGCGAGGATTTGAGTTTCTGTGCACTGACTCGCTCTATTCACCTTTCCTGGGAACACGTAAGGCCAGCGACCCTAGCATCCAGTCGTTGCCAGTGCCTCCTAAAGCCAAACCTGTGGACTCACAGCGGGACAGGTAGCCGTTTCCCAACTGGAGAAACCATAAAGACAAACGCAGTCATTTGTCATGAAGAGCCAGTTTCCTGGCCTATACACACCTGCGGCTCACTGCGTGTTCATATGAATGTAGTAGTATACACTTAACTACTCAGCTCTGGCCAGCGCGGTGGGTTTCCAACGGCGCAGCCCAGAATGCTGGTCTGGACACGCACCCTCCCCTGGGACGCACAGCGACTCTCTCAGAGCTGCAGCCCACTCCCTCACGTCCCGCCCTAAAGCACCGAACTCTCCTCACCCGCTGCCATTGGTTTTTAGAGAAAGTGGACTACCCGAGCCTTACCCTGGGCTTAATTCAAGCTTTCCCAAAAGCATCTCGCAGCCCAGGTCTGGCTCCGCCTCCCAGGCGAATGAGCGAGGCGTGCTCGCGCGACTGGGGCTGCTGGGGCTTGGCGGGCGTGGCTAGCCCAGCGCGGTGGGCGGGCCCTGAGGGGCGTGGTGGGCGCTGGCTGAGCAGAGCGTGCCTCCGGCCCGCCGCAGGCCCTGCACGCTACCATGGTGCCACAGCCCCCGCAGTCCCGGGGACCGCTGCGGCAGCACAAGCCGCCGAGGCCGAACGGGGGCCGAGGCTGGGGCCTTCGGGTAGTGGGCCTGTGAACGCCCGCAGTCTCCGCGCCCGACTCCTCCTCCTGCTTTCCCGGGCACGGGCGGCGACCGCCGGACGATGAACGGCCCCGGCCGCCCCAGAGGCTGAGCCCGCCGCACGGCGCCCCGGCCTCGCCCTCACGGCCGCTCCCCATGGCCTTGCCGGGGTCCCCGGGCTGCGGCGCGCTCGCCGGCTCCGCGTCGTCGTCGTCGTCCGTCTCCTCGGGCGGCTCGGCCTCTGCTGCGGCCTCGGCCGGAGCGGGGCTGTGGGCCGCGCTGTACGACTACGACGCGCGCGGCGAGGACGAGCTGAGCCTGCGACGCGGCCAGCTGGTGGAGGTGCTGTCCCAGGATGCCGCCGTATCGGGCGACGAGGGCTGGTGGGCAGGCCAGGTGCAGCGGCGCCTCGGCATCTTCCCCGCCAACTACGTGGCGCCGTGCTGCCCAGCCGCCTGCTCTGCGCCGCCTCCCGGCCGCCCGCCGCCGCGGCCCGGCTCGCCAGTGCACGTCGACTTCGAGCGGCTGGAGCTCAAGGAGTTCATCGGCGCCGGCGGCTTCGGGCAGGTGTACCGTGCCACCTGGCAGGGCCAGGAGGTGGCGGTGAAGGCGGCGCGCCGGGACCTGGAGCAGGACGCGGCGGCTGCGGCCGAGAGCGTGCGGCGGGAGGCGCGGCTCTTCGCCATGCTGCGGCACCCCAACATCATCGAGCTGCGCGGTGTGTGCCTGCGACAGCCGCACCTCTGCCTGGTGCTTGAGTTCGCCCGTGGCGGAGCGCTTAACCGCGTGCTGGCTGCCGCCAACGCCACGCTGGACCCGCGCGCGCCCGGCTCGCGCCGCGTGCGCCGCATCCCCCCGCACGTGCTGGTCAACTGGGCGGTGCAGATTGCGCGGGGCATGCTCTACCTGCACGAGGAGGCCGTCGTGCCCATCCTGCACCGGGACCTCAAGTCCAGCAACAGTAAGTGGGGTGGGGTGGGGGCAGAAGGGGATGCAGCCATGCCCAGCTCTGCCCACCTCAGTGCGGCTCTGGGCAGGCTTCACCCGGTGTAGTGCCAGGTGGAGGTGGCAGGGATCAGCCTCTCCAAGCGCCAGCATCCTCTCTTAAGCAGGCGTGCCTCCCAGGGCTCCGAGGCCCAGCTAGACCTGGGTCACTTGCAAGGGTCAGGTGATAGATAGGCTTACTTTGAGTTGTACCTTTTGGGTGCTTCTTTAAACAAAGCAGATCAGGCTTGCTTGCTGACTAAACAGTTGCACAGTATCTGAATCCTCTGGAAACCTCACGGTGCTGTTTGACCTTTGGGGACAAGGAATGGTGCATTGGGTAGACCTTTGCAAACCGAGACCTTCCTCAGATTTTGAGGAACCTATGGCCCTCCTTCCTGCCTAGTGGCCTTCACCAACTACCCTTTTGCTTTAGTTTTACAAGTGCTGTATTGAGGTCGCTCTTCTCCAACTTTAAATATGGCTCGTGTCCTTTGGTTGCCAAGGCTTTTCGATCAGACATCGTCGCACACGAAGATTTTATTATTGGTTCTATGGCTTGAGTGTTGGTGAAGAGTTGCAGACAAGAAACACCCGTTTGAGTCATTATGCACATTTGGGTTGATTAAGAGCAAGTTCATTGTCCATGCACTGGTACTTGGAATCTTGAAGACCTGGCCTGTAACATTTACTTTGTTTATAAATATGGTTGGATTTTCCACATGTCAATAAAGAACTGACAGATGAGCTAAACAAATGCTATTAAATTTCACTGTATAACAGAGCTAATAGAATTGCTGTTTAGAGTTGGTTCTTTGGATTGAAGATACTTCATATTCTTAGAATGAGATGAAACCTCAGGAAAAATTAAAGGATGCAGCCAGAACTGGCATTGGCCTCCCACAGCTGAATGTCTTTCAATCCTGTAAAACCTGCTAGGACACGGGCCAACTCAATGGAAACATTGTCCTTCTCCAAGTCTGCAGAAAGAATGACAGAAATGATAGATTTGTGGTATGCTTGTGTAGATTTTTTTCCCTATTCAAAATATTTCAGCACTGAAATTTACTTGGAAATGACTAGTGGAATCAAACAATTTAAGTGTTCTTAACTACATCTAAGGATTGAGGACTTGTATGTGACAGGAGCACATTCTAACAAAATAGGATATAGAAAAGTGGTAGTGGTGGTATGTATTCTTAGAGTTCTGATAGAGTCCACGAAGGGTTCTAGAATTAATTACTTTTGGTGTTACAGAAAAGACATAGCACACTTTTTACCATACTTACTTTTGTAAATGCTCCAAACCTGACAGTCCTCACTACCAACTGGTGTTTATTTCCTAAGTGGTTTTTATTGAAAGAAAAGTTTAATCTGATGCCATAGAACAACAAAGCTTTTGTGTCCTGTTCATGTGTCCCATAGCCCTCTCTCCACTGACATCCTGCATGCCTCTGTCTACCTGGAATTTTCTGCAGAAGCAAGTATTTTAAGGGTAACAGTAGCATCATTGCTTGCTCTGTCCCTTGGCAGTGGCAGTAATTTTGTGGTACACATGAGACCTGACATACCACAAACTTATTCTGGTGCAGGACATCACATCACCAGCACAGGCTAACAACTTGGTTTGGACTGGTCTTTAGACCAAAAAGTTAAAAGGCCTACAGCTATTATTTTGCATTATGCTTAGTCTGTTTTGTTGGATTGTAATAATGCTGGAGGTCCATATGCCCTGTTCACGAAGTAGAGCATGTTTACTAGTCTTAGTAACAGTGTAGAAGGGGAGATTAATTCATGTTTCAATTGCATACCTTTTTATATAATCAAAACTTTTAGAGAACTAATACTATTAAATAGTAAAAAGACCCTGGAATAATAACATGGTTAAAATAGTTTTTATTGACACCAGAAAAACTTATAAAGGGAAAGGTAGACTCCTGTGTATGTGGTAGATGTAATGTAATTTGAAGGTGATTTATATGCTGCAGTGTAGTTTCTGAAAGACTTTTCACTCTCAGAATAAATTGCCAAACTTCCTGGAGCATTTCAGTTCTGTAATTGTTGACAAGGTTGCCTTTGCTTGAAACTGAGTTTTTAAAGACTTAATTGGTGAGGTCACTAGCCTAGACAAATATTTGTTATATTATGACCATTATTGTAGTTTTTAAATTACTATAACATGAACATTTTGAATAGTGCCTAAAATGTGCAAATCACAGGGCTTGGCATATTACCTTATGCTGACTCCCTGGTGTTATTTATTGAATGAATAAATACAGGTACTTTGAAATTCTCTTATGGTATATGAAGCTATAACTTCTTGTTCAGACTTTGAGTACAGCAGATACTCTATTACAGCATGTTTTTTATTTTATTGCTTATTTGCTAATGGTGGTAATGAGTTAAAGATAATGAAAACAAAGTTTTAAAAATCAATATTGAATTTTATTTTCATTCTGTAGTCTATTCATGTAACAAAGAGCGAGCGTAAGACTACTTGGAACTAAGTTAGTGGAAATTATTGTTTAAAACAAATATTAAAGTTTGCCAAAGAGAGATATGGCTTATGTTATATTTTTTCCTTTCTTTTCTCCCTGGTCTTTTCAAGTTTTATTATATCATTTGAGAGAATGTTTATGTTGAAATAATAACTGATATGTTGTGAGGGTACAAAAAGACTTTGTCCATTTTCTAATAGATAGCAAAAGATTGACAGTTGGACCAAATTGACATGTTTTAAGCATCATTTATATTGTCAAATATGCTAGGCCCGGTCACTGAGATGCAAAGTAAGTAGAAAACACCACCAAATCTCTGTATGCAACAGCCAGAGAACAATAGAAGGTAATTTGGGGTTACTGTTAAAATGGCCATTTTTGTATTCATTCAGAGAAGAGAGAAAAATTATTGTGAGTTGAAATTCATTTATTAATGCATTTTGAGTGTCTACCCTGTCACTTCTTGCTCCCTGGGACACAGTGGCAAACCATGACAGTATCTCTGCCAACACAGAGCCTAGTCTAATTAAGAGAGATAGATGGCAGTCATGTAATGGTAAGCATTATTAAGTGCTATCAAGAAAATACAGCATGGTAAGGGGTAGAGGGGCCTGGGAATAAGGGTGAGGATGGTGTTCAGATGCACTAAGGTGACAGAGGCATGGATGAGGAGGAGGGAATCAAGCAAAGATCCAGGCAAAGGGAACATGGAGCAGAAATGAGCCTTTTTATTGGAGGGAAGACCGGCAGGCTGAGGTGGAGAGTGGTTGGATTTGCAGGCTGTGATCTGGTGGGGGTTCCACTCTGAGGGCTGTGTGGAGCCCTAGAGCATTTAATGTAGAGGAGCAGTGTGATCTGATCTCTGTCTTTACAAGATTACTCTAGCTGCTCTGGAGAATGGACTAACAGTTGGCCTCAGTGTAGGCTGTTAAGGTTGTCCAGGCCAGAGGAGGCATTGGCTTGGTCTGGCCATGGATTGTAGCAGATAGTGAGATAATAAGTAGCAGATAGTAAGTAGTAAGTGGTTTTCCAGGAATTTACCAGGGAGGAGTGAAGATGAAATAGTACAATATGTGAATTGATAAGGATGGTTTGAATTGTTAGAATTTGGTCTAAGCGTTTTGTTTATTTTGGCATAGTTCTGGGTTGAAAGAAGAATGTGTGGCATAATTATGGTTCCTTTTTATTTTTAAAAAATATTTCTTACTGTGTTCTACCTTTTTTAAAATAAAGAGCAAAGTATAAATATTCCATGAGAAACTAAGCCACAAATTATGGTAGCTTACTTTTATACTTTTTATTTCAATGATTAAGCACCTTTTAATGCTGGTGTTTTAGCCTTCTGAGAATAATGATACTATTATCTACAATGACATCTATATCAATAGACATATTTATTGTGAAATGCAATTTAGAGTTCTTACTAAAACAAACTACAAAAGGAATCTAACTTTTTGTTTTTCTCATTAGTACAGTGTAACTAAAGGAACTATTTGAGAAAGTTATAGCATATGTAATCTCTAAATAAGGTACTTAAATAGCTCATAAGAGTGATTTGGAGGAGTTATTAACTACACCACTTCTGTCTTCTTCCTTCTCTGTCTGTCCTTTTGCTCCAGACATATAGTGTCAAGCCATGGCCTCTCCCCATTTTAAGGGGAATGGGGGCTCAGTCAGTGTCAGAGAACTAATGTGCTTCTGAAACAAAATCAGCTAAAGGGTGTATTTTTAGAAGAGCAAGCACAAAGGGTCACCACATCTTTCCCTACCAATGTCTTGCTTGCATATTAGAAAACAAATAACCACCTCTCATTTATTACAGTTGTGGGAGTATGGTGAGTTAGATGGTCTGATTATGCAAACTTACTCTCCAGTGTACACATCTGATTGTGTAGTTGTACGGAAGAGGAGGTGGGGATTACTCCATCCATTTGTGCCTTATCAGGTCGTGCCTTATCACACTGGCGTACAAGTGTTGAACTTTTCTAGAATAGTTCTGTTACGGGAAGGCACGTTGGCTTTACAGTCAGACCTGCGTTTGAATATCGATGTCATCATTTATGAATTGTTTGACCTTCGGCAAGTCATATAACTTCATTGAACCTGAATTTCTTGATTTATGATACAGTCTACTGAATATCCCCCTTGGAGACAGATGGAAGTCCTATAGGGAAAAATCTGTTTAATGTTTCTTTAACCCTTCAAAGGCATTTGGGTAAATACTGGCACGAAAGCATTGGGCTCTTTTAGGGGAACAGTGAGTAGTTAGGTGTGGCTAGAATGAAAGGTAGACAAAGGGTTTTGCGAGAAGCAAACAGGCTTTGAGCATGTGGCCAGTGAGTGAGTGTGCCTGGGATGTCAGGCTATAAGATCTACAGAAGAGTAAGCCATTAAAGGTTTTGAGGAGGAAAGTGGTCTGATTTCCTGAAAGGTAAACATCTACAAAGAAAAATACAAAACCTTGGGATGATTTGTTTTA